ATTATACTCACTCATCTCAGCAATAAATCTGACTTGTGGACTGACAAATTTCCCAAGCTTGAGGTCTGATTTCACATGGCGTTCAATTGCAAATTTCAAAGTACAACGTTGAATGAAACGTAGCAATATAATCTTGCATGACACAGCTGTCAAGGCACGTCTAAAACTGATAGTACTCCAGGAAAACTGATGGAGCACTTGCTGGTCTAAGCCCAGGACGGCTCAATGCTTTGTGCAGTTTGAGTCCCATGTGGCAGGGTTTGCTTTAGAGGAGGCCTATGCCTGGATGAAAGGGGCTCTTTATTCCCCCAGCGGGCTGATATTCAGGCCAGTGGTGGAGAAAAAAGTGAGGGCCAGAGAGCAGGTTTTAACAGGTATGAATCAGGGGTCTGATGCTAGACAAGCTTCAGGAGCAATTATGGTCTAAGCTGCAAGCTTTCAAAGAAGACGCAGTGCAACTGACCAATAAGAGTGGCCTTTAAGATGGCTGACAGATTCTCCTCTGTTTGAAAAGAGTTGAAATGACAGGGCTTTGGAAAAAGCTTTTTGAACGCCTGGTGAGAGGCTTTTTTGTTTGTTTGTTTTTTTTTTGTTTTTTTCATATCCATTTTTTCCTTTCCTTTTCATGTCTAATACCATGCTAAAATTGTATGCTAAATGAGCAAAACACATTTACTCAGCTATTCAAGATATTCAACCAATCACATTTTAATGCCAACAGGAAATGCTATTCACAAACCATTTTCTTGGATAATCTGGTGTAAACAGGATTTAAAAATTAGAAATGTTATGTATTTGTAAAACATTTCCTAAAGCATTTAAGAGAAACACACTAGGGATCCCTGTTAATTGCTCTTAATTTTGAATGAAACATCTGGGAACATACTTTAGGTCTATGCGTAAGCTAAAACCATTTGATTGTTGTATTTATTTATTATTATTTTTTTATAAATGGATGTAGTCCAGTGAGAGGTGTGCTAAAGAAGGAAAAAAGAAAGGAAAAAAGTGGAGGATTGTCACCTCCATTACCCCACAGCCAAGTCGAGGCCGTGGGCTGATGATCCCAAAGTTACTTTAGACTATCACTCACTGTTTTTCCTCAGAGGAGAGTGCTTATCGATTTTGTCAACAGCCAATTGATTTTTCTTTCTCTCTTTCTCTCTCACTCTTTATATCTTCCCCTTTTGCTCTCCCTTTGGATCTTGCTGTGGGAAATGTGTCCTGTGATAGCGAGTCTAACCTTCCTGGGAGACAAAGATGCTAGCATTTATTTAAATTTTTCTCTACTGCCAATTCAAATATAAAGTCCTCACACCATGATAAGAGAAACAAAAGATGTTTCAAATTGAGGATGTTTAGGGGAAAATAGGCTGTCAGGATATATTGGATATAGGGATATGCCGGTATCAAATTTTCATGTTGCGATTAATTGCTAATGCTTTTATTATGGTATACGGTATTATCACGATATTGAAATTAAGTTTAAAAAAAGCGCCATGTGCTTCACGTCCGCTTTACATCAGAGTGCTCACGGGTCTTTCATCCAGCATACAGTGGTGTTGTGCATTTTGACCAGTTTATGGGAAAAGTATTCTTAAAATGCATTCAAAATTCTGAATAATTTGTAATATATAATTATTCACGGTATTTAGAAGTGCCCACGATAACAATATCGTGCATATTCATTACCGTGATATATCGCATTACCGAATACCGGCACAAGTCTAATTGGATATGGTCGAAATTTTAAATATATAATGGATAAATCTCACCCAAAATGTGTCCAGATTACATTTTACTGGAATTTCAAAGAAAAAAAAACTATATATATATTAATAATAAATTTTGTTAGATCATTTTTTAAATAAATGAAATAAAAATAAATAATATTTAAATTTAAATTAAATGTAATTACATTTTAGTCATTAAGTTATCCCATTGTGATTTCATTGTGACATTATTTTAAAGACAGTTAAGTATATTTAACTCCAAAATTTAAATGAGAATGGATAAGAAAGATTACAAACATTACAATTACAATTCTAGCAAAACTGCTTTCTTTTATTTCTTCCGATTTTCAGGTGAAATGTGACCTTGACAGGTTTCTTGAGATGCACCATAACATGTTTGAGTGCTTGCTTGTTTCCCAAATGCAGAGTACAAGATGTCTTTTGTGCACTGGAGCCTGACATTATTTATACAGTCCTTGACTCTGCATTGTCCCAGAGCAAATCAAGCACATTCAAATCTGAAGTGGAAAAATCGGCTTCTTTTCTGGAGAAATCTGCTTCCCTGAACATTGCCATTCGGTTGGCAGGTGTTTGTTGTGTTGTGCGCAAAAGCCGTAATTACTGTATGAGTCTCTGAATGCAGAATTCTTCCACCACATCTGTCTACCAATTATTCCCAGCAAATGATGGTTCGGGGAGGAAGCTTCTCTCGCGTCTCGGAAACTGACATTTTCGTATCTGGTGCTCGTGCTCTGTTGACGCATTCAGTTTTAGTCCTGCTGTATAGAGGCGTTGCTCTTTCTCTTGGCAGGAGGCTGTTAATCTTGTCGAAAAGCTGAGGAGCTCGATTGTCCTCCCCTGACAGTGCTCGCTGGAGTTTGGAGCTGTATTTATAAAGTCATGACCAGAAGAGGAAATACTATTTTGAGTTATTCTAGCACAAAGTCCATCACTATGCCGCATGGATGTAAATTGCTCACAATATTTTTAAAACAAGTTTCTGGAGGCCAAGCAATTTGGTCAGTGTGCATAAATTCTTGTTTGTGAAGTTCAAACCTCATTAAACAACATACTTTTTGGAGTATTTTCGTTCCGTTTATTTAATTCCACACTGTCCTTGACAATCAAACAAATCCGGCGCTGAGCGTGATTGCTTTAACAATGTCAAGCTCAAAATGTCTTCCAAGAGTGATCAAATGGCAAGTTGTGAATGCCAACAGCTCCGGTTTTCAACTAAATTGGCTGATTACTCTCACTAGAGCATTGCAACATCTCTCTGAGCAAAGATCGTTAATCCTGTGCGACCGGCAGACATGAAGTTCTCCGGCAATTGATCAAAGTGTGTCAACCAACAGACTGAAACTTTTCGTCATTTTCACTTCTCGCCTGTTGCGTTTCCTCGTTGCTCTGGGAATATATTGAACCATAAAGAGCATGGCTATTTGAAATCATGAAAGCTTGTTTGCTGGCCATCTTGATAACAGCTATTTGAATACCACTTTTATTGGCTTGAATGGAGAAAGTTTAATAAATTAATAGTTATCTCAAGATTAAAATTCTGCCATTTTAATTCTCCTTTATAAACCTAGACTACATTTCTTGGTTCTGTGAAACCAAAAAGGATTCACTATTCTTTTCCAGTGAAAGTAATGTTTTTTAAAGGCAGATTTTTATAGCAAATTAAAATTTACATAGCCTCAAAAAATGTAAAATGTAGTGCAGTGGTTGACCGATATTGTTTTTTATTTATTTATTTTTTTTGACAGCCGATGCTGAGGCCGATATCTTAGAGAGCAAGGTGACCGATGGCTAATATATATCATTTTGATTTATTCTAATTAATATTTAAGAAATTTGAAATAATCTGAAAATGATAAATGTGTAAAATAAACATAATTATACTTTAGACGAAAACGTCTCGGGTTACTTATGTGTTTAATAAATTAATAGTTATCTCAAGATTAAAATTCTGCCATTTTAATTCTCCTTTATAAACCTAGACTACATTTCTTGGTTCTGTGAAACCAAAAAGGATTCACTATTCTTTTCCAGTGAAAGTAATGTTTTTTAAAGGCAGATTTTTATAGCAAATTAAAATTTACATAGCCTCAAAAAATGTAAAATGTAGTGCAGTGGTTGACCGATATTGTTTTTTATTTATTTATTTTTTTTGACAGCCGATGCTGAGGCCGATATCTTAGAGAGCAAGGTGACCGATGGCTAATATATATCATTTTGATTTATTCTAATTAATATTTAAGAAATTTTAAATAATTTGAAAATGATAAATGTGTAAAATAAACATAATTATACTTTAGACGAAAACTACTATTTGATTCTGTAATCCTATTAAAGTATTTTTCACAAATAAAGAAATATTTAAATATATATATAAATAAAAAGGAAACACTGTAACCAACAGGGCTCTCAGTAATCTGAGAAGTTTGTGTGCATTGGGAATAATTACTTTACAAATAATATCAAGGTAACACTCATTTTCCGTACAGCACATAGTGAAAATGACATGAACATGACGGAGGGCAAATGGATAAAGCGCAGCATTCAATTTGCATGGACTGACCATTACGCAGAGAACACACGATCATATAATGCAGGATACTAATTTTTACACTTTATAAGATCTCACAGCTGGATCTGATTAAGTCTGCAAGGTTTGTGAAATTAAATGTTTATTAGACATTCATGTGTGTGTGCACTTAGGATGGGTTAAATGCAGAGCACTAATTCCTAGTATGGGTAACCATGTCATGTCACTTTTTTTTTTTCACTTTCAAATATTTGTTTAAATGATATACAGTAAATGCATATTTGCTGAATGCTGATGGTAAACGAGAAAGTATTATTACTAATAATATAAAAGCAATCATTATAATACTTTTTGTATACCTTTTAATTCCTTTTTTAACATTCTATCTGATTATTAGACAGGCTTATATCCCTATTAGAAAGAACTGTTAAACTGTGAAGGCAAACAATGAAGAGGGGGAATGTGAGCGCTGTGCTCAGTCAGGTGCTGCCGTTCTCAGCGCAGTCTAAATAAAATTCCCGAACACATCGGCCAAACAGGAAAAACTTATCGGCCGATGCCAGTATTTGAAAAAATGTCAAATATCGGCCGATATATCGGCCTTGGAAATATATTGGTCGACCATTACTGTAGTGCATGATGTACAAATGAAATAAAAGTGGTTGTTATAAAGATGCCTGTATAAGTGCATTGAGTTTTCTTGTTTATTTTTGTCTGCACAGTGCCATCATGGGCCATCGTCGCCATTGCGTTTGTTGCTGTTGTACTAGTTGTTTCCTGCTGCTTCTGCATCTGCAAAAAGTGGATATTCAAGAAGAAGAACAAGAAAAAGGGCAAAGACAAGGGCAAGAATGCCATCAACATGAAGGACGTCACTGACGGTATCAAAACCGAGGTAAAAACATTTTGTTACTGCTGTTGGATTGGCCTTGTTCTTTAGTCGTCAGAAGTTGCATGAAATATTTATTTACTCAAGTAGTATTGTATTAATGCACGATGCCAATTAAGTATGTTCATAAGACAACTCTAGATGGAGTCATCTGTTGATGATGTTGTTTCACAGCTGACTTTAATTGCAGGACTGCAAACCTGGGCATGTTAACGGTTCATTAAAGTATTGAGTTTTTCAGTTTTTCTTGCATTTAGCTTAATTCACTTTGTAGTGCTGCATATGGTTAACTGTGCTATGAAGTGGTATCAACCCAGAGAAATGACAGTAGATAATGAAAACAATAGGAGAAAGAACATTAATGCAGCTCGCTTTTTTCCACACACCCACAAATTATATGGAACACTGGCACTTTAACCCTAGTTAGCATGCTAATTGCATTAACATGCTCACAATAGTACACTTCTAACAGAATAATTGACAAAGTCAGCTTAATTCGCGGTGTAAGGACACTGGCTTTGAGACCATGCCAAGACCACTCCAATCCCAAATTAGAGACATTGATTTTCGAGCACAAAGCACAGTGAAGAGGAACTGACACAGATAATTAACAGCACTCTTTAAAAAACCCAGTGTGCATTTCTAGAATGTCACAGTTTATCAGCATCAAACCAAATCCGAACAGATATACAATAGCTGCTATATGATATTTACCCACCAGCATTGTGTATTAGTACTTTCAAAATAGAAATAAGAAATGGCTACAGCCATTGAAATCCATATAATCAATATTTTGCAACACAACTCTTCTGAATAAAACAAACCAGGCTAAGGTGTTTAACTGCTCTCCCAACTGGACCAAGCTGGTTAGGCTGGTCTTATTAATAGTTTTGGAAGGTTTGGGTCACTGGAAGACCAGATGAAGACCATCTTGGCCAGATTAGGAGACCAGCTAAAGCCAACATAACAATTTAGGCTAATTTAACCTGATGTTTTAGCAGGGAAACACCCATATATATATTGTAATACCTGTGCTAATTGGCTAAATATGAGAGATTAATGAATTGTCACTCTTATTTAGCAAATTAGCACAGACATTAAGAACGATACACAACAATCAGAGCGATATGCCAGAGTACAATGTCCTGCACAACATACATCTTTGTTGTATTGTCAGCAGAAGGAGCTTTGAGCTTCTCAGCAGTCATTTCTCCTGGTATGCCCTGACTCATGTGGTCGCCTTTGTGTGTGGTTGTTTTAATTTGTGTCTCTTCCTTCCATGTCCTCCTTATCTATGTTTTGTCTGATGACTTTGCGGGATTGCCACTGGCGGTAGGTTCCCAATTGCTGTTGGATCTTCTTATAGCCTGCTGCAATGACTTTTAATAGCCTCTTGACAACAGGTTTACTCTAGTAGAGTAAAATATATGTAACTATGCATACAGTACATGTATATCTACAATATATATGTGTAAGTCTACATATACACATATATATGAAGAGAGAAAATACATTTGGGTACGCTTTAGCAAGGTTGAACCACATTGATTTCTACTTGTCATTTGAAGTAGAAAACAGACAATGATAATTTCTCCAGTAAAAAGGAGACTGTCAAAGTACGGACTGCTTAACTACTAGTGATACGTTCAGCTTGTTTGACTGCCCTTGGCCAAATTATCAGTACTCATCTGGTCCACTAGAACTTAAAATTGAAAAATGTCCTGGAGGAGAACAGCACCCACCTCATTAGCAGGACAAATTTGTTCAAGAAGCAATTTTCAGACACGATGACCAGACTGATCTTTAATTGGCTGACATGTTTATGAAACATCATCTTTTCCAGTCAGATGGAAAGGGTATCAATGAAGGACACTCACAGCTGCATACGGGTGTTACCAACTACTTTTAATCATTTTACACTTCCAAAAAGACTCATTTATAGGAATAGCTCAGCCAAAACAGAAAATCCTGTCTTCATTTACTCACCCTCATGTTGTTCAAAAGCTGTGTGACTCTTCTTGAAACATAAAAGGAGAAGTTTAGCAGAATGTCCACGCTGCTCTTTTCCACACATTAAAAGTTAATGTTGACTACATCTGTTAAACAAAATTGAAAAGCATGATTTTGAGTGATTAATTACTTAATATTTCATCACAATGCTATCATATGACTCGAACTATAGTGCCTGAGTCGTATAGACCACTATTATGGTGTTCAGTTTCTGGGCTTATACAAGCCTTAAATTCCTATCCGTTTTCATTATGTGGAAAAGAGCAGCTCACATATCCAGCTAAACATTTAATTTTGCATTCTGCTGGACAAATAAAGTAATACGGGTTTGGAACAACAACAACATGAGGGTGAATAAATGATCCCTGGGTGAACTATGCCTTTAAATACATCACAAGACTTAACAAGCACCCCAAAGAGGTTGTTGAATTGAAGCGCACAAGTGTTTGTGAAAATAGTCTGATCCTCATAAGAGGACAAGACAGCCAAGAAATCAATTTTGTTCAGCCTTTTGCTTTCACACTTGTAACCCAACAACTAATAAGAGAGGCCCTGTAACGACCCCTCCCACCAACACCTTCTGCTGGCATGATGCTTACAGCTTCTATGAGCGTGGTGGTTATCACCAATAACTAAGGGTCATGACAACGCCACTGTGTGTGGAAGATCACGTCACAGAGAATGAGGGTCACTATACAAGCACTCTTCTTAAGAACGTGAATGCCTTGCATGCTTTACCGATGAGCAAGACTGCCCTTTCGGAAGGCAACTATTTCACAGTGAATGAACTGAGAGCTGAGTTTGCCTCGACAATCGCATGCTTTCCAGCGACAACAAACCTTCCTCGAAATCCCCTTAACACTGGTCTTAAACTAAGGCTAGCTAGGGAGTTAATGCCACACCATTCACAACATTTCCCCACTGATTTGTTGATGCCAGAGATTGTTCTGCCTGAAATAACATAAAGGACAATGTATTGTACAATGTATTTCTTAAGAACATCTGTCTGCTCATCTTGCCTAGGGTTGGATGGTATGACCAATAATTGTAACTTTATATCACGGTACCGGTACACATAACATGACATGTTTGTTGTTGCTGTTTTATGTATGTATGTATTTATTTATTTATTTATGACCGATTTTGACAGCGTCATACGTTAATTATTAGGAAGATTTTCATAACAAATGATTATTTGTCTTGACAACTGTGCAGAAACAGCTTTTCATAATCTTAACATGGGGTGGTCTTAAATATATAATATAATATAATATAATATAATATACCACTGATTGAATGAGCCAAGTTCTAGGCCTTTGTAAAATAGCTAGATATAGTACCATATGCGCAGTCGATACGTTATCATACCACCCAGCCCTAGCCTTGCCCTTCCCACCAACCTAGATTGCTTGCACCCATTCAGTTCATCTTCTTGCAACTCTTTTCACAACTTTTCACAATAGCAGACCGTAGGAGAGAAGGGGGTTCACAGCCCAAGTCTAGTGCATCACTGAGCATGTCATGGTCTTAATCGCTGTGGTGTTTTAGTGCTTGCTCCCCCCCTAATAGAGGTGCGGTTGAAGAGCAGGCTGGTCCAGGGCGGGCCCAGCGCTCTGGCGAGGGCAATCGGGCAGCGCCAGCGTTGGGCCAACGGGACTGACTGTTAGTGGGTGTCTCCTTCAGGCCTTGAAGGATGAGGATGATGCGGAAACAGGGCTGACGGATACAGAGAAAGAGGTGGAGTCTAAGGAAGAAGAGAAACTTGGCAAATTACAGTACTCCTTGGATTACAATTTCACAGAGAATACGGTAAGGAGCTGTCTCCGAATCACCGTCACTGTGTGTGGTGTTTAGTGAGGTCTTCTTCGTAAGTACAGCGTATTTGTCCATCAAATTGTAACCAGCTCCACAAATAACGCCCATTTCAGTAAAGTTATTCAGCGTGTCACTCTTACATAATTGAATGCTCACTGTAAACTGTGTGTTTAAAAAATACACACTGAAAATGTGAAGACAGAGTACACTTTGACAACATGAATCGCTTTTCAGAGTCATTTTTAGAGTCATGTGCACTATTATTAAGTGCTATCTATAAAAGCCAGAGGAATTCAGACTTAGCACTTAGAAAATAATGTCCATCATCCTGTAAACTCACCAAATGCCGTGAATGTCAAGGGCACATCACAGTAGTTAGATTCGAGTTTGAACTGGCTTTCTTCCACGCTGACTGAATGAGGGTGCTGGCTTGTCTTCAACTCTGAGGCTAAGCCGAAATTCATTGGCCGCCTCTTACAAGCCGTTGAGCTTGAAAGCCGAGTGACTTCCAGAATGGATGCACTTCCTTTTGTCAGATCCTGGGTGACAGATAATTGAAGCTGTGCATGGTCTCACGCCGAGACCGTGCAAAAAAAGCTACAAACCTGAAAAAGCCAGAATTTCCACCATCACACACACACAAATTACAGCTTTTATAAGCACAGCCACCACAGGAGCCTTTTCATTGTATGCCGGCAATGTATGTGTAGTGAGATGACAAAATGACTGCAAATGACTGGTAATGCTTTCCATTTATGGCATAACAGAGTTTTAAGAACAAGAATGAGATGTTCAAGATACTGCATTTGTTCTATTCTTTTGACGTGTAGCAAAAATATTTCAAATAGCTTGTTAAGTTTACTGAAGTCTTCATTGGAGGTATAAGAATGTGAGGATAAAATATAGCATTAACACAAAAGAGCAAATTCACTAAACAGTTGTGCCATTTTGTGCACGGTATTTTTGCATAAAAACCTACCTCATATTCACTAACCACCTGCCACCCAGTTTTACCGCTAATATTGCAGATAGCATGTGCAAATAAATGAAGGCAGGAGATGCAAAAAAAGCAGGAGATGCAAAGAAATCCACATCAGCCTGACCTAGATTCAACCCAGAGACCCACTCGCTCTCATAGACACGCATGTATCTCCACCCTTCGTGCCGGCAGGAAATCTACAAGCTTCTTTCCCGTCTGGCTTTAAATCAAGCTCGAGTATCGCTTCAGGGAGACTCGGAGGTCTGGAAGATTTGTCTGCAACTCTTGCCCTTTCCAAAGGGGAAAGGTTCCAGGGAGCTCAACTAAACTCTGGGTTTGTTTAAAGGTAATCTGGACCTTTCCAACCCTGCTGAGCAAGCCAGAGGGTAAAAATAGAAAAGTACAAAACATGGCAGTCACAAAGCCACAAGACACAATATCTCAGAATCCAGGGTGGCTCCTCAGGGAGACAGAGAGGCAGGGTGCAGATAAGGGCGATATTATTAGTGAGGATAGAGGTTTGGATTGAGCTGCGAATCCATACACGTTCACTGAGGTGAATCATTGCAATCGTGGCCTGTTTTCTAACGCATCCCAGAAACCCCTCGCTGTTTATGCCAAATAGCAAACCCCTCTAAGAAAACTGTTTTCTCTGAAAACCATTGCAGCAGTAATTTAAGATGACAGCTCAAAGCCTTCAGATGAGAGATTGTGAGCACTGCACCCACTGAGGTGAAGTCATACGGCTGAATCTTCCTCCAGCATGTCCTGCATCAGTCTGATTCTTCAAACTGTGTAGCCTGCAGAGCGATTGAAGGTTATTATGGCCAAAGTCTCATCAGGATCAGATAGTCTTTCACCCCCCATCTATGTCCAAAACAACCAGAGACAGATCCACCCTGACTCATACTGCTACTGTCGTCCACAACTATTCAATCTAACTCACAGCTAGGAGCTACTTACAAAAGACTTCTCATTTAAACTTAAAGATGGCATTGGCTTGTGTATCGCAAACGTCCAGTGAGACTGACAGCGATGCCACTGATAGATACGTTGCGTAATTTGGGCTAAATGTGCAGTCACATTTGCAAAATTTTGCAAGCACAAATGGTGCATTGTCTGTTGTCAGTATTATAGCGATGTGTGAAGAACTCACACAGAAGTCACTTTCAAACCAAACAGCTTTCTTCTGCTCAACGCTGCAAATTTAAGTGAACAACTTGAACCTGTTGCGAAATCTGCTTTTGAAATGACGATTTCACCCGCCAAAAATTCAGCAAACAATGACAACTGCAACTTAAGGTCAGCATATCAACAATACCCTATTTACTGTAAGTCTGATGCCACGTGTCATTGTTTTCAGATTACAAAAACAAACAAAAAATGGTGCTAATATACATTTAGGCTAACTGAGACTTGTCATAGCATTTGCGTATCGTTGCTCTTTTGTTGATTTTGATTGCTTCCATTGTCCTCATTTGTAAGTCGCTTTGGATAAAAGCGTCAGCTAAATGACTAAATGTAAATTTACAACATGTTGTAATACTACAAACCAAAAAAAATCATGTTTCTAACTTTTATCTCCATACCAAAATCTCAGTTGGCCAGACAGTGATTCATCTTTTCTGAATCAATAAATTATTAGTGTCCGGAACACAGTGAGTCCAGAGACTGTAGTGTACACCGTGAGTTTTTAAAAGCTTAGCTTTAATCTGTGCTATAAATAAATTAAGTAGTAGAGATAGTATTCTCAATCGTAATAGAGTGGAGGCTTGGAACTGGAAACATTATTAGATACGTCACAACTTAATAAGTATATTGTGCACACAGACCTTTTTATGCAAAGCAAATTAGAGTGCATTCAGGGTATTTTATCGGTTTGTGTGTTCCCTGCAAACCAAATCTATGACCATCCTTTTGCAAGTGCCATTCTCTACTGTTAAGCTACAGGAGCTCCTCAAAGCAATAATAGCATTAAAATCAAATATCTTGAAAGAAGTGTTACAATTGGGTTATGTTGAGGGTGTTCTGTTCTCGAGGGTGAACTGAACTTTACATTTAATTGTAAATTCTACTTTATTTATTATTATCTAGATATTGAATTTCTCATTGCTAACATGTCAAGATATGAATCTGGAGTCAAAATCTAGCTGACATCTAAGTATTCTCCTGTCAAGTAGTATGAAATGTTAAAGATTGGAATCAATATATATATATTAAAATTTAATTCTCCAGTTCTAACAAAGTTAATGGTAATATAACTGCATGACTGACAAAAGAGAACTATTGGTTAAAATAAATAACAAGGACTCTTATTTTGTCAACCATTTTCACTTATGCTTTATGGAAGCAGTGACTATAGGAGCAATGGGCATCATTTGTGGAGTATTTTCTACCTTTCAACTAATTCTTTAAAAATACAGATGTTTTCCTGTTTGATTGTGCCTGTGTTAGAACAGTGTTTGTGGGGGTGTTTCTTTCTTGAAGTCAGAACATGTGCTTTTTTTCATCCAAGATTACAATGTGAAGCAATAAAACTGTACAGACCTGAAACCCACCACCATTTAATGAAAAAAGAAAGAAAAAAAATCAAACATTACTACAGCCTGACAGGATATTAAAATCTTTATAGTTCCTTTGTCAAGAAACAATCACAATGTTCTCTGATGGCCACCATCTAAACCAGAAACACTGGTAAAGCTTGTCACAGACTACAGTCCTTCCCATGGCAGCACAACCGAAGTGTGACAGCTGGTCAGAGTGAGAGAGAAGGTGAGAGGAGAGAGAGTTCTACGCCCGAGTGCATGTGTAGACACAGAGACAGGGCGTTTTATGGGAAGCTGATGGGACCTTGATTGACTGACTCTAGGACCCATGAGGCCATGCAGGGGATATGGTGACTGGCAGGTCAATCAGGACCTCAGCCCAGCCAGCCGGCCAATCAATTATCAGAGCCGATGGGGAGATAGGATCAGGAGCGCCACGCTTGACATGGCCTGACCCCATTGCCTCCTTAATGCTGGGACTGTTTAAAGAGTAATGCAGCCCGGGTCTGAAGGACGCACCTCAGCATCATAACTATAACTGACCTCTCAGTGGCTTTTCATATAAATAAGCAGATACTCTCCAGACTGATTTACTATAGTACCACCCATAAAGAGAACCAAACAGTTGAAGTCAAATACAAAGTAGTTGATTCACAATAAACCACATCAGATTTATAAGAAGGCAGTTCAAACTTTTTCAGTGTGTACTAGTTACTAATTTTAGGAGCAGAAGTTCTCAAACAGTGAAGGTATGTCCACCAAACTTTCGAAAAGTATGAAATTGTCAATATTATGGAGAGAATAATATTGAATGTAGTGTCATTTTAGTATTACTTATATACTATTGTTGTATTTATTTATTTTTTTTAATATACGTTCAGTTTACATTTCAATTTTAATTGAACTTTTAGAAACTTTGTGTTTTTGTTAGTTTTATGAGGGTTACCTATATTTCTATTTATTTTATCAATTTTTATATTTCAACTTATTTCAGTTAGTTTCAAAGGCAACATTTCTAATACGTTTAATTTAATGTTTTTTTATTTTATATTTATATTTTATGTCAGTTTTATTACAATTACTCGAAACTATTTTTAATAGTTTAAGTTCTAGGTAACAATAACAAAAAGCTTGAAAGTCACCAGACAAGCTGAAAAAACACCAGTTTTATGGAAAGACCCTGATACTTTTAATCTACATGAATGTGTATAACTTATGTTAGACAGCAGATCTTAGTGCTTTAGAAAAAGAAGACCAACTGTCTTCAGATAAATCTGATCCAGCATTACAGTGAGCTCCTACAGAATGGTGGTGGGGTGATGGTTTAGACAAAGACTACACTTCTCTTCAAGGTCTTACTCATGATCTCTTTAACTTTGACGTTTGACCCTTCATAGCTCATAGTGGGGATCATCCAAGCAGCAGAGCTGCCCGCTATGGATATGGGTGGCACTTCTGACCCCTATGTGAAGGTCTACCTTCTTCCAGACAAGAAGAAGAAATTTGAGACCAAGGTCCACCGGAAGACACTGAATCCCGTTTTCAATGAGCAATTCACCTTTAAGGTAGGTCACAAACCTAACAGAATTGAATTATAACAAGTGATTTCTCATTGGATCCGTGCGTTTGCATTCTACTCATGCAGTATATAGAGTTATTTCTGACTACTTCTTCTGGTGTATTAACAAGACACTAAGTGGCACGATGCGTTGGAGTAATTACATGTAAACATGCAGATGGACTCCTGCAGGTGTCTGTCATCCGGAAAGTAGAATAATTTATATTTTGAATGTTCAGTAGAGCTTTCTGATTCATTTTTATTGGACGTCATGTGGCTAGAAAGACCTTTTTGTGTAATTACCGCACTCAGACCTCTAGACTTCTATTAAATTGCTAAGTGAAGTGTTGAATTCCTAAAAGAATTGCAAAAAGCTAACTGATCCAACCTAGGGGGTAAAGGACTGTTTGCGTGTTTGGTTCTTGTTTAGCCTAGTGCAATTTCAACTATGACAAGGTACCTTGAGAACGAGAAATGAGCTGCATGCCAACATAGAGAGAGATAACCACAGAGCTCTGACATGTAATCACAAGTGCCTTCATTATTGAAATGAAGAGACTGGAGAGCTGGTGTGTGTGATAGCGTCAAGGACAAAATAGCAACCCTTGGGTCTTATCTCTTTCCTCATTATTGAAATGAAGAGACTGGAGAGCTGGTGTGTGTGATAGCGTCAAGGACAAAATAGCAATAGGGTCTTATCTCTTTCCCGGCCAATCAAGCAGTTTGTCGCCATGTTGGAACAAGTCCTTCGGGATAATGAGTTTTGTCTGAAAAAACAGCTCAATTGGAGGTAATCAAGAATCAAATCTCTCTCTCTTTCTCTTGCGCACATGCAATTGTCCTATAGCTTCATCCCAGCATCTCAGCGTTAGATAAGTCCCGTAACTGGAATTGAGAGAGATTAGAATGGTAGGTATGCATGCAATTAATGTCACCCCTCATATCCTACAGGTTCCCTACACTGAGCTTGGAGGGAAAACTCTGGTGATGACGGTGTATGACTTTGACCGCTTCTCCAAACACGACGCTATAGGAGACGTGAAGGTGCCCATGAATAAGGTCGACTTTAGTCATGTGACTGAGGAGTGGAGGGACCTCCAGAGCGCTGAGAAAGAAGAGGTAAAAAGCTAACATGCATGGGTGGCAATAACCTGTTCCCTGGTAATGTGCTTGAATATTAGCTTTTGTGTGAATAGTCCATCTTTATTGCCTGACCTTCTGGAGCACAAGTGGGATTTTTCCCAATTCATTTGTTCACTAGTAGTGATTCTTCCTAGTGACTTGAATCTTTTCAAACCATTCAAAATTTACATCATATTCATTCACATTCAGATTTTTTTGCTGAAGTTAACATCGTTATACCAGTTGGCAGCAACTGCTAAGTGAATGAGTCAAAATATTTTTTGTTTTTTGTTTTTCTAGACATGTGAGTCCTCAACATGGAGACCCATTTTGTGTAAAATTAGAGTTTTTATTAGGCTACTGAAACGATACATCCTTGCAGATTTTGAATATAGTAAAATATTTTTTTTTATTTAAAAATAAATGTAACTTTTTAAAAATAAGAAAAAGTGTGCACCTTTACAAGATTTGCTGTATACAATGGAAACGCAGACAAATGGCAGTGGATGCATTCATCAGTTTTTGACAGACCAGTGTTTTACCCCGTTGGCATCTGTTGGCATTGGCGCTTGTTTTGTCTGATTGAACATATTGAATCGTGTTTGTCGGGTCTTGGAACGTCTGAGAAATGACGTACTGTAATCTGGTGAGTGTCGCCATTGGTCTGTCTGTGCAATGTGAATTAGCCTTTATGCTCCCCGTGTTTTTCTTTAACAAGTCCACCAAATAAGTTTGAAATGTTCCCAAATGTTAACTCGTATATTGAAAAGGTTGTACACAACAAGAGTAAATATAATTTAGCAGGAGCTGCATGGAAATTTACTAACTGTACAAGTGCAAGACTTGAGGGCTATCCATCTTCAATGGAAATGTCAGTTTAATCAGCTGGGCCGTGCCACATTTTTATTAATAAAAAGTGTGACTTTCCAAGCAGTGGTTGGGAGATTCAATATTCATGGTAAATGTCATGGAATATAGCATTTAAGCCATGGTTTCTATGGGAACCTTGTTTTTGTGCCACGGTTCCTTGGTGTAAAGGTTAATTATGACGCCGTCAAAAGCTTGCTGAGGGCAGAGATTTGAAGGGTATCTAGATACGTTGAAGGTTGCTCTTTGAGTTTGTGCTTCTGTTACACTCCATGTCCGATGAACTAACGGAGCACTCCAAGCACTGCTTGAGAAAGCTAGAGCGTATTGACTTTTATCAAAGAATCTCTAGAGTGGTGTCCTGAGGGTGGCACTTTAAGTGCCTGTAAAAAACTAAATGAAAATCGACTGCAAAATGCCGTAGATTCTTGTAGTTTCACCCACCCTCTTTGCTCTTTTTTTTCCTACACAATTTTAAAAAGAGGAGAAAAAAAATCTCAGCAGTCGATTCAACTTATTTACCTTGTAGGACTCATTTAATTAAACTATGAAATGTTATTTTTCCATTTTGATGACCTTTTAATTGACAGAAAATTGATTGTGTGAAAATGACATCAGCCAGTTGAAAGTAAAGTGATGTAACCTTTTCCCCCTTCCTGTTGTTTTCTATATGTCACATGTGTTTGTGTCCATGTTTATTAGAATGGCTCCTGAAATATTAATGCAATGTGTGTACGTGTAAAAGTATTTTCAGTGTGTTTACCGGTGCAGCTACATTTGTGGAAAATTAATCAGATTCAAAGAATACAACCACTATGCTCCTCAATTCAGTTTCTCTTATAAATCCTGTTGAGTGGGTGAACGTCAAAAAACATTTTTGTGTTAAGGGGAATATTTTAGTCTTTTGTGCTAGCAAAATTATTTTAGCTAGAGATGTTTCGGTTTGGCTTTGCTTCTAAAGAAATGTTGATTTTTGTTAGAGAATTCATTTAGTGAATACATTTGACCAGGTTTTCAGGTTCGGTTTTTCTCTTTACCTTGACAATGATGTCCCTGATTGAACTTTTCTCTGCCACTCACAGCAAGAGAAGCTGGGTGACATCTGTTTCTCTCTGCGGTATGTGCCCACTGCTGGCAAACTGACCGTGGTCGTTCTGGAGGCCAAGAACCTGAAGAAGATGGATGTCGGTGGCCTGTCAGGTGAGTCCAGTTACTGAGTCACACTGTCAGCTGGACCCTGGCACAAAGGTTGTGCCATTATGTGACAGTTTAGGACAGTGTCTCTTGTTGCCAGCTGTCATGACAATTCATTTGTGTGTCTTTAAATACAAAGTGAAATCAAAATGGCTTCTATTTGCCCTTCTTAACCCTGTAAAACCTGATATATGAATACATTTTTTTTATGGAACTGTTTATTGAACCTATAGACAAAATTGGGGGGAAAAAAAGTTTGCATATGTTTTTTGTTATCTGTTTGATACGTCAGCTGAATTTTAGGATCATTACTCCAGTCACATGATCCTTCAGAAATCATTCTAATATTCTGATTTGCTGCTCAAAAAACATTTATTATTATTATTATTATGTTAAAAACAGCTGAGTTGATTTTTTTCAGGTTTCTTTGATGAATATAAAGTGCGGAAGAACAGCATTTATCTGAAATAGAAATCTTTTGTAACATTATAAATGTTTTTATCATCACTTTTGGTAAATTTATAGCATCCTTGCTAAATAAAAGTATAGTATTAAATTCTATAATTTCTCTTCCCCCCCCCCAAAAAAATGCTGATCTTTGGATCGTTCTATTCATCAAAGAATCCTGAAAAAAAATGTACTCAACTGTTTTAAATATTGATGATAGTAATAATAATAATAAATGTTTCTCGAACAGCAAATCAGCATATTAGAATGATTTCTGAAGGATCATGTGACACAGAAGACTAGAGTAATGATGCTGAAAATGTAGCTTTCATTTCAGAATTAATTTCATTTTAAAATATATTCAAATAGAAAGCAGTTATTTTAAATAGTAAAAATATTTCACAATATTACTACTTTTGCTGTATTTTGGATCGAATAAATGCAGGCTTGGTGAGCAGAAGAGAATTCTTTAAAAAATATTTTAAAATACTGTTTTTTTTTTTTTTTTTACTGTTCTTACTGTTCAAAAACTTTTGACTGGTAGCATATTAGAATGATTTCTGAAGGATCATGTGACACAGAAGACTAGAGTAATGATGCTGAAAATGTAGCTTTCATTTCAGAATTAATTTCATTTTAAAATATATTCAAATAGAAAGCAGTTATTTTAAATAGTAAAAATATTTCACAATATTACTACTTTTTCTGTATTTTGGATCGAATAAATGCAGGCTTGGTGAGCAGAAGAGAATTCTTTAAAAAATATTTTAAAATACTGTTTTTTTTTTTTTTTTTACTGTTCTTACTGTTCAAAAACTTTTGACTGGTAGTGTGTGCAGGTGGGGAAAAAAATCTTAAAATATTACAATAATATCATAGCCTAACATGTTTGCATCCAGTCAAATTCCTGCCTTACATAATTTTTCAGCTGAATACACTAAGAAGATTCATTGTGTTGTGAATGCTCTTTTCATGTTGTCTTTAACACGGTTTCAAAACCCTTTCATTTTCTCATAGCTGCACGAGGTTGTCTGTATGTAAATGCAAAGTCATTTTTAGTATATCTTTCGCTTTTAAAATCATGTAACGCGTATACAGTCATTCACAGCTACAAATCCCAAGGGCATCGAAATGTGGCTTGAAATGATCCGACACTTTCCGAACCTACGGCTGTGCTGCGCTTTATCAGCTGAAGTAATATTCGGCTCTGGTGAATACATTAATACATTTTCACTGAGTAAATTTACAGCTCGCCGTTCACAAATCAGTCCTCATCTGTGCCCTAACCACTTATGAAAAACGGCCCGGTCTCGTCCATCTATACTTCCCCACCTCCCTCGCCGGTTCTCTCGCACCTGGTCTGTCTCGATCCTGCTGTCAGAGAGGCGGACAGGCCATCAGTACCAGACCCACCTGCTGGGAGCCAAGAGGCCTGACGCTTACTTCTCATCACTCAGAGAGAGAAGAACAGCTATTAGCAAACTTTCTCGCTCTCTCCAGTCCATTAGCGATCCAGATTAAAGCCGGCTATAAACTGTCAGTCACGTTTCATAAGGTACTCCAACACGCCGCTGAAATTAACACCGTTAACAGTTCTATGTAGGGGTTCGTGTTTAGAGGACTATAGTTTTCACGATGTGAAAACTACACCCCCAAACCTCCTATTGAGTTTCATTGTAGGGCTTGTTGAATTGGTCGTTTGCCAGATCGATCAAATCCTGTGTGAAAATTGTGCAGTTAAGGGTGCTTTCACCATCAATTACTGGGTTTTTGCCAGACTCCGACGGTTTGTTTTGTGAAATGAACCTTTTTGACAAAGCGCTCAGTGTTTCCACTGATTTTACTAGAAAACATTTCTGTCCCTGCATTCTCTCTCTGCTTTTCTTCTTGTTCCAAGTTCGTGAAAATGGCTCAGATTTAATTGTTGTTATAGGGGGAGTTGTTCTCCCGAAGGAATCACTTCAGAGCATGTCCAAAGAGCTGTCACATGATTAGAAACAATAGGCCCGCATGGATCATGCCAATAATTAGTGACTGTTTCCATTGTGATTCAGCTACAGGGAGGACGACTCGTCAGAACACTATAATTTATCCTTTTCTCTATTCAAACCCTGTTTACTCTCCGTAATCACACAAGATGTGGTTGTTGCAGCTAAAATAAATGTAATTTGAATTAATTCACCAGAGCAGTGCTTACCAATTTCTGTATTTTTCCTCATTATGCTTTTTGTGGTTTAGATTATTACTTGAATATGCATATGTACAAATTGTATTTGTATATATGCATTTAATGCATTGACATTTAGGTTATGCAGTTCATCGGTTCATGTGTGTTCTGTGAATAGAACTCGTGACTATTTTAATAGACTTAAGCTACTGCTTAAACTACTGTACTTTTTCAAAGCCTCAAAAGGCATTTGGACACTTAATTCACACTTAAAGGGATAGTTCACCCAAAAATGAAAATTCTGTCATTACTCACCCCCATGTCATTCCAAACCCGTAAGGCCTTCTTTAATCTTCGGAACAATCCGAGAGCTTTCTGACCCTGCATAGACAGCAACACAACTGGCACATTCAAGGCCCAGAAAGGTAGTAAGGACATCGTTAAAATAGTCTGTCGTAAACACGCATCGAAGTCTGACACGGAACAAAAGAAATTGTTGAATAAAGTCGTTATTTTTGTTTTCTTTGTGCACAAAAAGTATTCTTGTTTCTTCATAACATTACGGTTGAATCACTGATGTCGCATGGGCTATTTTGATGATGTCCTTACTACTTTTCTGGGCCTTGAACGTGTCAGTTGCGTTGCTGTCTATGCAGGTCTTACGGGTTTGGAACATGATGGAGAGTAATTAATGACTTAATTAATAAATTAATTTTAATTTCCGGGTGAACTATCCCTTTAAATTTGTAAGAATGTAATCAGATATCAAAATATCAAATCCAGTATCATTAATTTCAAAACAATCAATCAATCAATCGATCAATTAATATTGATTAATTGATCGATTGATTGTTTTATATATACATAATAAATATACACAGTACACACACATTTATTATGTAAACAAAAACTTTTATTTTGGATGCGATTAATCACCATTAATTGTTTGACAGCACTAATTTAAACAAAATAGGGGTTGAAATTGGCACTTTTTTTTAATTAGCATTTATATAGCTGAGGGTGGATGCAGTACATGCAGTCCACCACTAGGAGACACCTATGAGTCTGTAGACCATACCTGACTGAATGCCTATGTTCCAGAGCCAATGAAAACATACCACATCAGAGGCAAGGGCCAGTTTTATTTTCACTTGGATTTTCAGTATCCCTTCTAGATGAGCTTCTCAAGTGACTATATGAACCATAAACACAAGTCATTACAGGTACTGCCAACTACTTGAACCACAAACTTCTGGCTTGGCTTCTGTGTGAGTGTAGATTACCACAGATTTCCCCAACAACCTCAAACCTCAGGCACTCTGTTGCCAAGCAACCAGGCAAAAGCACCACTGTTAATAGTGTTAGACCCGGAGAAGTTCTGTTTAAGTTCAACATCATAAATAGCCCTACTGCGTGTTTTCACCTTATTAAACGTGGATGGAGCGAGCAGCCAGAGCTCTGAAGATCCTGCAATGTTAGTGTAAGTTCAACAGGAGGTGCTGTGCTGCTCTATTATGAGAAATCTATCTTTGCATCTCATATAGACTGAATAAAATGTTTTAGCATGCATTCCATATGTGATCCCCCTGTCAAACTGTGAAGTTTCATGAATTCATAAGGGAAATAAGAAAGCATACTTTTTTGTTGTATCACAAAGACCTTTTTCATGTATAATACCTTTAAAAAATGCATTTAAAATTGATTTTGTGCCACTCAGAGCCATACCAATGTTCTTTAAGTTACAGGGCATAGTCCTGTACAGTTTTTACAACAGATACAAAATGCTTTTAATTGATAGGAAATGCAGTAAAAACAATAATATTGTGAAATATTATTACAATTTAAAATGACTGTTTCTATTTTAATATAGTTTAAACTGTAATTTAAAGCTGAATTTTCAGCAGCCAATTTTAGCAGTCTTCAGAGTCACATGATCCTTCAGAAATCATTTCTCATTATAACAGGGACGCAGGAAGTAGGGGTGCTGAGGGGGCTGAAGCACCCCCTGTTTTCACATGGTTGCAAATGCACACAGCACCCCCAACCGAAAACATCTTCCCGCGCCCCTGCATTATAATTATTATTTGTATTAAAAATATCAAAAATCAGTTTTTTTTTTAACCATGATATATTGGGAAACTGATCAGCAGTTTGCTTTCTGAATGACTAATTTGCCATTTAAAACGCCTCAGTCTGCATGTGTCTGCAGGTATAGCTAATTCGGTTTAGACAGTTTGCTATAATTTGTAGTGTCTGTGGTGTGAAAATGATGAAGAACTATACATGTCACTGCGAGACACTGACCGTGTTGCCAGATCCAGCTATTATAAGCTTCCTTGGCCTGATCATTTCCTCTTAATTTGACACTTTGGAAAGTTAGTAAAGTGGGAAGTTGCAGTTTAGGGTTAGCAATAGCTTTATCTTATCTTATTTACAAAAGGACTTATTTGAACAAATTTTGGTTTATTTTATTTATTTTTTGGTTTTTATTTGTTTTCATAGCAATATCTGGCAACACTGCATCATTGACACAAAACAAGTAGGTTACAGGATTAAATGAAATATCCAAACACTTGCCATGAAGAAGTCTATGCTATTTCATTCAGTATAGAAGGTCATCTTTCACAGTCATGTTATAAACATTCATAAGAGCACTAGACAAAGCTATCATTTATATAGCAATGCTTATTAATGAAATCTATAACAGTAATGTTGCATGAATAATAAAAAATATATATAAAATTATCCACCCCTAACCTATAGTAAAATATTAACAAATTTTGATGCAATAAATATGGTCTAATTTAACAATGTTCATCCAATGTTCAGAGGAAACATCTTTCACAAACATCTACTGTCTCTTTTAAAGTTTTTAGTGTACAAGTTGTATTTGTAGGTGTTATTATAGCACAATTCTTAATTTTCAAACCCTGGTTATGGCCATGGTCTTACACACCCGCAGCTTATGATCAGTGAGATCTACACTTTCAAAAACTGCATGCCTTAGATTTTGTGCTGCCCTACTCCTAATATGGTATGGGTGAAGAGTTCAGCATGCCTTCTAGGTCTCTCTCTCTTTCTCTCGCTCTGTTTGGAATGTGCTACTCTGGCTTTTTTAGAGAGATAAAAACTATTTAGATCAGTTGCAAAATGAAGAGGGAATTGAAAATACCAGAGATTTTTTGAAATCTCTTTTGGGGCAGAGCAGAGAAGGATGATGGTGACAGAAAGAGACATCACAGGGAGAGAGAAAGTGAAATGAAATGACATATTGGACAAAAGGTAATTCTGAAACATGGTTACATCTGTCAAATTCAACCATTTCTCACCTCAATAACCGCTGCTACATTCATTTTTTATTGTAAGGCTCAGAAAGGCATATGACATCTCCCCTCTTTAAAGGGGTCATATGATGTTGCTAAAAAGAACATTATTTTGTGTATTTGGTGTAATGAAATGTGTTTATGCAGTTTAAGGTTAAAAAAACACATTATTTTCCACATACTGTACATTATTGTTTCTCCTCTATGCCCCGCCTTTCTGAAACGCGTCGATTTTTACAAAACTCATCGGTCTGAAAAGCGAGGTGTGCTCTGATTGGCCAGCTATCCAGTGCATTGTGATTGGCCGAATACCTCAAGCGTGTGACGGAAATGTTACGCCCCTCACCATATTGTGATG